CTGTGTTGTGCTGCTGTTCTGCTCAGGCTCCGCCCCGCTGCATGGTGCACCGGCTACGCACGCTGCCTCCCAGTTCTGCCTTCCGTTCGGAGATTGGGTCGCGCTTTCCACGTCTGGCCAATCCATCGCTGCGGCTAATCAGCACCAGCCTTGAAAACGAGTCTGCTCCTTCTGTGCGGGGCGGCTTGAATCAGTGTCTTGTCTGCCACCGTTCTGAGAGAACGTGTTGTCTGTGTGCGCTAAAGATTAAGCTTAAGGTTGCCTGTGTGGCTCTGTGCTTGTGTTTATTTGAGAACCCTGTGTTTTTGTGTGTTTTATTTGACTCTGACGCTGTCCAGTACAAACTGTTACCCCTTTTGCCTGTTTTATTAAAAGGCCATCTAATTTACCATTATTACATCCTTGGTTTTATGTTACTTCCCTCTTCCCCTACGAGCTCAACTGTAGGGTCGTAACATATTTGGGGGCTCATCCGGGATCTACACGTTCCCGGCATTAGGTGGCCGAATCAAATTTATTAGGTAAGTGGGGGGGTAAGCTGTATTGTATTTGGACATTGGGAGAATGGCAACCGCTTTCAATTTACAGGCATTCTTGCTTCATCCCTCGGCCGAAGCACTTGAGCGCTGTAAAAAGAAGGATCTATTTGAGGTTGCCGATCATTTTGAGATTTTGTATTCCCGTCAGAGCAGCAAGGCCGAACTCAAGGTGCTGCTCCTGGATGGTTTGGTGGAGAGGGGCTTGCGTTTGATCCCAGAGGCTGAGAGGTCTGATGAGAGCATCGTGCATGCGACTACCCCGAGACGTACGGAGACGCCTGCGGATGGCCCTCCCGGAGCGGAGCGTGAGTTTGTAGAGGGCGATGCGCGGCCTGAACCACCGCGCACTCCTCCTCGCTACGGGCCGCCCTCCCCAGCTCCTTCCTCTCCCGGCTCAGTTGGTGGTGCTCGGCGCGCTTTGCGGCTGGCACGCATCAAGATGGAGGCCGAGCAGAAGGATCGGGACCGCAGTGCCGAGCTCGAACTGCATATACGGAGGCTTGAGATCGAGGCTGACAAAGCTGTGCGCCTCAGACGCCTTGAGCTGGAGGCCGAAGGCCGCCTCCCCAGTCCTACTCAACGCCCGGGCGTCGCTGCACCTGCCACAGCCCTCTCCCCAGCTGTTCATGACTCTCTTGACGTGAGTAAAATGATACAAATTGTGCCTACATTTAGGGAGAGTGAGGTTGATTCGTATTTTTCTGCTTTTGAGAGAATCGCGATGGCGTTAAATTGGCCTCGTGAAGTTTGGCCTATCCTTGTGCAGTGTAAAGTGTACGGTAAAGCACAAGAGATAATCGCTGCGATGCCTCTCGCTGAGAGCCTGCAGTATGATGCAGTCAAGAGAGCAGTCTTACGCGCGTATGAGTTAGTGCCTGAGGCCTACAGACAGTCTTTTAGAAATCTCCGTAAAGCCCCGAGTCAAACGTGTGTTGAGTTCGCACGGGAAAAAGGAAATCTGTTTGACAAATGGTGTGCCTCTGCGAAGGCCCAAGATTTCGATTCTTTGCGTGAATTAATGTTGTTAGAAGACTTTAAGAACAACCTGCCTGCGCGTGTGGTTGTGTATTTGAATGAGCAAAAGGTTAAAACTATTTCTGAGGCTTCTGTGTTAGCAGATGAGTTTGTGTTGACTCATAAGAACTTTTCGTCATCTTCTGTTAATGAGACGCGTGTGTCTGTGCAGCCTGATCGTCCACGCTCTCCTGGAACCTCCACAAGGGACAGAGTCTGCTTCTACTGCCGCGAGCCCGGACACGTAATCGCAGACTGCCCTACTCTCAGACAAAAGGAAGAGTGTTCAGCTCCAAACGTTCAGAGCATTGGGTTAATTCAATCTGTAAGTCATAAGTCAGGACCCAATACTGTCCAAAATCACGGCTCCTGTTTTGAGCCTTTCATATCACAGGGCCTAGTATCACTGAATGGCGAAGCACCAGATCAACGCCCCATCCGTATCCTACGAGACACTGGCGGTTCCCAGAGCTTGATTTTGGCCAGTGCTCTCCCCGTTTTCATACCGCTCTTACTGTGGTTACAGGAGTGTGTTACGGGGAGTTGAGATGGGCTACCGCCCGCGGCCCGTTCACTCTGTTCATGTCCAGTCAAACCTCGTTACAGGAAAGTTTCCGTTAGCTGTTGTCCCTGCGCTACCCATTGAAAATGTAGACATGATTTTATGTAATGATTTGGCAGGGGGCATGGTGTTTCCTCCCCTGTTGGAGGCGGTTCTGTCCCCGCTTGTGTGTGCCTCTGATCGTCAGATGCCCACGGGTTGTGCTGTGGCGCACACCCGTCCTCCAGAACAGTGCGGTTGTAGTCTGCCCGCCAGTCCAGTGAAACCACGAGTACCGCCGCACTTTACTCCACCCGCCACTTCTGTACGGAAGCACAAGGCTAGGGCCACCAGGCTTGGGTCAGGCGAGCGGCACTTTCAGCACCATGGAGAGCGTTTTGGCTCTCGCTCTGCAAGTTTCAGTTCGCGGCCTTGATCTGTGTGTTCCTTTGAGGGATTCGCCACGAGAGAGGCAAAGTCTGTGATTCTGTGTTCGGGTGAGTAATTCACAAATTTGCTCTGATTTTACTTTGAGATGGCTTGTATTTTAAGGGGGGGAGTGTTACGGCCGCTGGCGCTGGGCCGCGTCGTACACCCGCTTCCCTCCCTCCTGTGTTGTGCTGCTGTTCTGCTCAGGCTCCGCCCCGCTGCATGGTGCACCGGCTACGCACGCTGCCTCCCAGTTCTGCCTTCCGTTCGGAGATTGGGTCGCGCTTTCCACGTCTGGCCAATCCATCGCTGCGGCTAATCAGCACCAGCCTTGAAAACGAGTCTGCTCCTTCTGTGCGGGGCGGCTTGAATCAGTGTCTTGTCTGCCACCGTTCTGAGAGAACGTGTTGTCTGTGTGCGCTAAAGATTAAGCTTAAGGTTGCCTGTGTGGCTCTGTGCTTGTGTTTATTTGAGAACCCTGTGTTTTTGTGTGTTTTATTTGACTCTGACGCTGTCCAGTACAAACTGTTACCCCTTTTGCCTGTTTTATTAAAAGGCCATCTAATTTACCATTATTACATCCTTGGTTTTATGTTACTTCCCTCTTCCCCTACGAGCTCAACTGTAGGGTCGTAACAGGCCCTTAGCCCAAAGCTCCGTTCCACATGTGTGTCAATGCTGAGGGGGTTGAATTTTTTTGGACCAGTCTAGTTTACTCGCTCTGAATTTTTTGAAGTCACTTGTTTAAATGTGTGGGGCAGATGCGTTTTTTCACATTTTACAGCCCCCGCGGCCATTTTGAATCACTCCAGTACAGCCCAATTTTTGGCCCATTAGTTAGAATGGCAGAGATAGGCGTGACTACGTCCGTTAATATATACAGTCTATGGGCCAAACACCAAAATATCAGCACAAAAAACAAATGTGGAATTTTGGTGGATTGAAAAGATTCTCACTGGTTAGGCTGATGTTATTATAAAGAATTAAATACATACATATATAAAGAATAAACTAAAAAGAGAATGTTTACAGGGACTTTTGAGCCAAAGTCCCTGTAAACATTATTAACATAAAGCTAAATGTATAAAGTAATTTTTGTCTTTTTATGTTTAAGTCTTAGAAGTTTATTTTGATGAGAAAAAAAATGCAAAGAAGCTATACTGCTTAATAACCTGACATGTTTCGGCGGTAAACACGTGATGGTGTGACGGGGTCAGACTGACCGCATGCCCCGCCGCGTTGTGTTCTCTGGAGAAGTGAATCCCACGTGTTTGGAGTACCGAAAATGGCAGGTAAATAAGTAATCAAGCAGTATTAGCTTTCTTTAAACTTTTTGTAAAATAACCTTCTAAGCCTTTACATAAAGCTGTAAATAGAGGGCTAATGTCAACACACTAGTTCAATGACGTGCAATAGGGAAGTCCTCATGCTAAATTTTGTTGAATCCACTAATTCTGTTTTTGATGATTCTTAGACACCATATCGTGAACACTTTTGCTGAATACCTGCGTTTCTCAGTCATTTAAGCTGTAGCGCTATTGGCTTGTGTCAATTTCACTTCTTTGAGAGGAAGCTGTTGAAGACTGTGTTCAAGTACACATTGTGGAATTCTTTTGACATAGGTTTAATCTTTTTGTGTGTGTGGTTGAACAAGAGAAACGAAGGGGAGCTCGTTGTCAAATCTCGAGGTGAACGGGGATCTTCGATTTGTGTATGGCACTTCAGAAACCGCTCTGCTCTGAGGAGGAAGACGGCACGGCACTTTAGAATAAACAGCACTTCAGCGAAACCGCTCCAGTTTTGGCAAATATTAATTTTAGATTTCACAGTTTGATGAAGGAGCCGCAGGAAGAATCTTGGATTGATGGAAGCTAGGGTGAGCATAATGTGTTGGATAAACTTGGATTAGCGTGAATATCACAAAGAATAAATAAACAAAATAGATAAATGATAGAGGAGAGATATTATGCATAATTGACTTTCTTGCACTTTTAACCATGTCACAACATTGTTCCCTCATAAAATAAAAATAAAAAACAACTGACCTTGAATTGTTTGTATATCCATCCATGCTAAAATCAGGAACTGAACAAACATGTATCTCCGCCCCTTCTGTCAGAATGCTCCGCTCTCAAACTACGCGATGATGTAATTTCACCTCTATGACATCATTCTCAGATCTATTGTTCTATTTTTAGCCGTGAAACATGTCCTCCTAGTTGAGTACAGGAAAAAACAAGTGGTGTTCATAATTTAGTTTTGACATTTTCTCAGGTGAAATGTCTCATCCCCCTGGTGGTAGCTAATGAGTTACATGTAGATAGCACTATTTATCCTTGATAAATCCTTTGCCATATTATGTAAGATACAGTATATAAAAACGTGAAAAGTCTTGTTATATATATATATATATATATATTATATATATATGAATATACCTTTTGTATGTGTTGTTTTAAGTTTTCTAACCGATCGAATCGTGAAACCTTTAATGGATACTTTAGGATTCCTTGTGAAGAGATTAATAAAGAGCCTCGCACTAAGGACTTTACGAAAACACGCAGGAAAAGTGGCTCGCTAACATTTCACTAGCAGACGCTTTTACCTCTAAGGATTAATTATTTACCCAGCCATGCAGTCACAATGCTCAGTTATTAAATCCCCATCTTTATTTCATTCATTGTCAGGTATGAGTCGGCGTTTTAAATAAACACTGTGAATGTTTGACCTGAAAAGAACGTTTTCAGAAAGTTAATACCAATCGTTACTTACACGGCTCTGATGCAGGATGTGTCCTTCAGGACCTCAACTCTGAGTTCTTAAACCCACAGACAGACAGAAAAGTTGCAGTATCCGTGTTTATCCAAACATTTGTTTAGCAGTGCAAAAGCTTGATTGTAACACTAGCTGTGGGTTAGAATCTAAAGTGAAGAAAACGACAGTCTAGGATCGTGTCTTTAATTCAGACAGAAGACATGTTTTATTGTCGAGGGTAGAGGCAGCATAAACGAAGACGTTACAGAATGTAAGTGACATACAGCGGAGGAATGGAGACTTATTAGCATTATTAGCATGTTAGCATTTACCGCTGTGCCAGAAGCTTCAACCTTGATATTACCAAAACATGTAGCGAAAAAATTCTGCCTTGTGCATATTGTTAGAATGTTGAGTTAGAACGTTCATCACAGTAGCTTCAAAGTCTCATGAAATATCCAAAAAAGCAAAAAATACTCGGAAGATTCGCATTTTCTTCATATATCAGCAGCAACTCTTGCTGGCCTGACCCCCACTCCGTCAACCGGAAGTTTATGCGTCACGTGATTGCAAGCAAGCAATAGTCACCTTTGCATCATTGTTGCATCTAATATTATTGTTATTATAGTTATTATTAATAGAAGTGGTGGAATGAGAATAGTAAGTATAATTCATAATGATTATCATAATTAATGGAAAGTTGATATTATCTGGTTTGAGCAATTGTTGTATTTTTGGTGCCGGTTAGGCCATCTGATTTGTACATTTAATTTTATAGGAATGGGGTAGAAGTTTATAAGATTTTTTTTTTTTCTTCCTCCTATACCTGTTCTTTTTTCATGGAATATGTTACTGTTGTATTTGCTGGATTGTGGTATTTTGTTGCATTGCCATGACAAAAAAGGGAACTATAAAAAATTTAAAAAAAATAGATAAATAAAACATATCCCAAAATAATGCACAATATATATTCTTTAAACTGTTTAATAACTTACATACTCTAATTTCAACAACAAAACCCAGATTGCTTTTGAGCAGTGAGAAGCAGCTCCACTCATCTACCTACTGTCCTCACACTCTCCACCTCCGCTTGCTGTTTTAAGCTCAGTGGTAAAAAGCCAGCAACAACATCAACAACAGAAATCAGCATGGCAGAATTGTCCTGTTGGGTTTCCATAGTGACTGTTAAAATCTGTCCTCCAAATCCAGGTACATTTGCATCCGCGGCAGGCACTGTCTGAATACAAGACTGAGGGTGTGACAAAAGGCTGAGCTAGGTGGGGATGTAAACTCACAAAACAACAAACTGTTTACAACTAGAGTTTAACTTTCGTATATAAAGGTGTTTGGTTCCTCAAAAACAGACAATAGTAAGTCCAAAGTAGACAGAAGTATACCAAATATCTTTATTTCTACTAAGACAGGCATGTCCAAACTCAGGCCCTCTGTCAATTTAAGAAGGCTCTCTGCGTCGCTAACACAGCATAGTCGCACAAGCTCACAGTGTCATCCAGCCAACTTCAGCCAATACAGACATGCTATACCATGTTGAACCGTTCTAGAATCCATTCGTTGACTTTTGTTTTGTTTTTAATTGTGTCACAAAAATGATATATGGCGCTAAAGTGATTTGGTAAAAATTTGTCAAGCCAACTTCAGCTTTGTCAAATGTGAATAAATAAGGACGGGCCATTGCTGTATTTAAAGCCCAGAACTGTCTTAATCCAGTCAAAAATAGTTTAAGTACCCGGTTCGCCAGCCTCTGAACAAGTCTGGTGAACTATAGTGGCCCTCTTGCTTACAAGTTTGGACACCCCTGTACTAAGAAGACCAAATGAACCTTCCCAAACTTAACTATTATATGTATAATTTACCAGATTCAACAAACCTGTCAGGTTTGATTTACACGATTATTACGATGCATGTGTAAATGTACTAGTTCACTGTCATTGATCAATTTGCAAACATTGATAAATTGCAAAAATACATAAAATAAGATTTAAATCAATGCAAGGTGATTTTAGGTATGTGCAAAAGTGTGATTTCTTCCCACTCCTTTTTGGGTTTTTTACCAAAGGAAAGCAACAGAAACCTTTAAATAATGTTGAATGTATGTGTATATTTGTTTGTATCAAGTATAATATGTAAATACTGTTAACTATATGAATTGATCCTTATTTTTAAGCTTGAAATTAATACAATAAATAACAATAATTTTGATTTGAATGTCTCCATATGGACACATTCAAATCT